TAATCGACAGGTTATGGGCACCTTTAGCCTGATGAAGGGGACCCTGCATGGCCCCGAAAGCCCTTGACATCTGACTATTTATATTAGTTTTAGGCCCCGTTCACATATAGCGACTTGTTGCGCGATTTCCGCCGCGATATCGCGCATTTTTGCCGCGCGATATTGCGAGAAGTCGCCGGCCAATGCTATTCAATGGAGCTGTCTTAACTCCATGTCGCGCGTCGCGGTCGCAAGTCGCTTCTACCGGACCCTTTTTTCGGCTGCTTTTGCGCGATTTTGCTTGTTTTCTATAAAGCCCGACGGAGAAGGTCGCGCTACCGTCGCTGGAACGTCGCCCCGAAAGTCGCGCTATCCCGGCCGCTGCAAAGGTATGTCGCTATATGTGAACGGGGCCTAAATGATGTGATGTTGTGTCTGTTTATATATAGACAGTGACTAGGCGCTGGGTGGGGGACTAAATATTCTGTTTGTTTGTTTATTATGTGACTGGTGATTAAAGGCTGTTTTTAAACAAATTTTAATACGTTATTAATAAAATTAATTTTACATTCGAGTATGTACGGATACCGCTCTTTTGTTTTTTTATTTTGATTCTTCTTAAAGCTTAAAACTGCTTTGTAATTTGTTTGTTTTGGCACAGCAGACTTTCACATTGGGGCACAATTACCTTACAAGCGCTATCGGATCAATCTACAGGGCTGTCCCCAGCTGCTGTTTTCTTTGCCGCCGACACTACCAGGTTCTCAGAAGTCCGCTTCAGCCATTGGGTGGCCACTGCTGATGCAACTTCTGCACATGCGCACAGGATTTATATACTCTCTGGCACCCGGCCCATTCATGGTATCTTAGAGATGCTATGAATGCGCAGGTGCCATTCCGTATACACACGGGAAAAAAACACTGGGGAAGAGAGGAAGACATTTTTGGCAGAAGCGACTACTTGTCCAACCACCCAACACTTTCATTTTTTTCACTTTAATTCCACTTTAAAGGCTACATTTAGCATATTCAGGGTGTAACATAAAATGTAATCACATCGCAACCCCCCTCCCCCCTTCTTACCTGGATCGTGGGGTTCTTCTGCCCGGGGCTCCTGAAATATTTTGAATCTGTTGCGGCGGTGCATGCTCCGCCCACACAGCCTTGTCATCTATTCGCAGATCCTTTGACAGGATCTGTGGATGGAGATACTCCAAATTTCATCTGCCACTGCAGCCGAGAGACTTGTATCCACTGATCACGTTTTCAATGCTTTACTGTGTCCAATGCACAAAAATAATAAATGCACAGTTTTCCTTTATGCATATGTGTGCATTTATTATTATGATTTTTTTTAAAGTGGACCTTGCCTGTAAAACATAGGTTTACAATTCTGCTATGTAAAAAAACAATTCACTTTAATGTATAGTCTGTGTCAAATATCGTTGTCACACATTACATACATTCTGACACTTAGCTCTTGCTGAGACCAGAAGAAATGTCTGTAGAACAGCAGCTGAACCTGCACAGATCACATATCTAGTTTACAGAAAGCCTTGCAATAAAGCAACAGCTGCAATCTAATAGTAATAAGATATACATTAAGCAGCACATTTCTGAACTGATACATGTTATGCAGAGCCTGTGCTGCAATTATGTTATTTTTATTCTAACAATTTAATTTAATTCTCTTAAATGGATTTATGAGCACAATCAAAAACAAAACACTATAACCAGGTATGTGTGGAACTGATAGATATAAGGGCAGATATAAGGGCACAGCCCGCTGCAGTGGGTTAAAGAGACTTCAGTTACCACAGACCACTCATTTGGGTCAGTTGTGGTGCATTTTCAGCAGTGCAGCGCAATGCAACATATGGTAGTGCATAGCCATGCATTACACTGCATTACAGGTGAGCTAGCAAGGTGTGTTAGGCTGGGTTCACACCTGGACGTGCGGAATATGCGCGTTTGCGGTAAAAGAAACGCGCGTTTACGAGGGCTATCCGGCTGTATCCTAATGGATACGCGCGGCAAATACGCCCCAAAGAAGCTCCTGTACTTCTTTGGGCGTAGGTCATTTTACACCGTGTTCCTACGCAGTGAAAAACGCTCAGGTGGGAACCATGCCCATAGGCAATTATTGGTTTTCACATGTTGAGCGTTTTACAGCGCGTAGGAACGAGCTGTAAAGCGCCCAGGTGTGAACCAGGTCTTAGGGTGCTACTGTGAGTGAATGGCACAGAAGCAAACCAACGCACACAATGCATGTAACTGTAACATTCGAAAAAAGTATTACACAAGGTGAAGAAGTTACTTCTGACCAGAGATACGTATGAGTAAAAAATCATTTATTAACAATGTTATTGCACATATATATGCACCACAGCCCAAATCACCGTTTAAAAAGAATTGACAACGATGTCACTTCCACCCACATACATGCATACATGGCTGCAGGACCCCAATCAACCACCTGGAGGAATTCTCTATATTATTGCTGGCTACTATTGTTAATAGTTTTCAGATTGACTGGCTGCACTTTTGAGTAGTGATGTCACTTACACGGGCTCATAGGAGTGTTGTTGGAAGTAATAATGATGTTCTTGAATAGTATCTCCACAATATTCCAGATCCTTATATGTAAGTCGGATGTTTGCAACTGGGGGACTGCCTGTATATGTCTATTAATTTGCTACAGTATTTGTAGATGAAAGGATTGGAATTTTTTTTAGTTTAATAGAGGCTGTCTGTGAGGGCTCATTTTGATTCAGTTAACCAGCTTGTGTGGCAGTATATGTGAGCCAAGATTTCCTGTTTTTAAAGCCAGACTTTTCTGGGGAAGGGATGGGACCTCTGTCCAGTTTTTATTGTCATCTTTGTCATGTCAAGAAGATTTTTATGTTAAGTTTTAAATGTTCTCTTTGTTGCTTTTGATCAGATTTCTATTTACAAATCTCTAGCTATAATGCTGTAATAAAAATATGGAAGCAAGCAATTAAAACTATGACACTAACATGTCAAGAATGATTTGCTGGTAAATGGTACAAAAATAAGTGAACATTAAAGAGGAACTTCACCCTTATCTTCAAAATAACAACAAAGTCACCTTTGGAAATATTTAGTAATGACAATATACAAACACATACTTTTCTTTTCCTCTCCATTCTTCTAACGGTGGCCATTTTTACTAAGGGCAGATTAATGTATCTCTCTTTATTTCCTGGAACTCTGGCACATGTGACTAGGACATGTGACCATGCACATCATCTTAGGGGAGGAAAATGGCTTTCCCTGAGATCTCATGATGAGATTTTCCGGCAATGCTCTGCTGATGTAACCTTCCCAGGATGCAACGCTTGGGCACGATTACATAAGCTGATGTGATTTTTTTAGTCAAAGGGGTAAAGGTCCTCTTCAAAGTGTATTGTTGGATAATGTGTGACCACTTCTCATTGTAAAACATATGAGTTTATTTTAGTCAAGACATATACATGTATGGGGCTCTTAGCAATTCACTGCAAGTGACAAAGACAATGAATACAGAGCTCAATTATATACCTTTTCAAAGAACTAAAAGGCTATTTGGTCACGTATACAGTCTATTTGCTTACTAGACACTCTTGTTATCTAGACAAATAATTACACATAACTTTCTTTACCCAAGGCCAGACGTGGTCAACATTGAAACATTTCTATAAACGCACTCCTATAGGTTAGAAAATTCTACAAATTAAGTATATTAAAATATTTTTTATCAGTACAATTGACCCCCTCCATCCCCAAAGGCCCCCCAGTGTGTATGCCTTGCTTTTATTTTTATAAATGACAATTTTTTGATGCCTTTTGGCCAACCTGCTGCCTAGGTTTTGTGAGTAGAGAGCTGAAGGTTCGGCAGCAGCGGCAGGAGGAACGCAGGAGGTGAGGTGAGCTCTGTTTTCAAAACTGGCATGATAAGTCAATTGAGCAGGGGGGGAGGCAGAGGGTCAGTGGACACAGAGGTGGTGAGAGAGGTGGGCACAGTGGCAGGGTAAGAGCTGGAGGGGGGTCAGTGGACACAAAATTGGTGAGAGAGGTGGGTCTGCGTCTTTCTAAGTCCTTTCAGAATGTCGTGGCATAGTGAGCGGCAGAGTACACTTGGCAGTATTAATATTACATTGATTGTACCCATCAGTCCATGATCGATAACCACCCTGTCCATCAATATACCCACCGACTGTGGATACAGTGGCAGGGGAAAAGCCGGGGGGGGTCAGTGGACACAGAGGTGGTAAGAGAGGTGGGCACAGTGGCAGAGAAAGAGCTGGAGGGGGGTCAGTGGACACAGAGGTGGTGAGAGAGGTGGGCACAGTGGCAG